AGCTTGGATGCTTCGGATTTTTTCTTCTTTATTATTTACTTCTGTGATTTTTCTTCCTTCTATCTCATTTATTTTTCCTTGTAATTTTAAATTTCTTTCTTCTAATTTTTCATTTTCTTTCTTCATTTCTTCATAATTCGTTTGAATCTTTTTAATTTGTGTTTTCATTTCTGTAATTTCTTCTTCAAATTCTTTTTTGACTATTTCTTTTGCTTTTCTCATCATTTCTTCTGAGATGGCTTGTTCTTCTTCCATTTTTTCCATGCTGAATTCTTTAACTTTTTCTTTTAATTCAGTAATTTGATTTTTCAGAGCAAGTATTTCTTCTTTTTCTTTTTCTTCTTCTATCTTTTCTTCTTTATTTTTTGTTTCTTCTTGTATTTTCATTACACTTTCTTTGCTATTTATTATTCTTGCAATTTTACATCTATCATTCATTTCTTTAATTGGGTTTTTGTTTTTAATTTCTGTTTCTATAGCCTTAATGTCTTTTTCCTCCCAATCTTTTGTTTTTTCTTTAAACTCTTCTTTCGTCTTTTCAATTATCTTTTTCTTTTTAATTGAATATACTTCTTGAAGAATATCATACCATCTTTTTCTTTTACCTTCATATTTTTTTAGTATTTCTTCGTATTCTCCTTCATTCCATTCACTTGTTATTCTTTTTATTCTTTCTTGTATATCATTTATTGTTATTCATTTATATTTGTTATTTGTATAATCTTTATTGTTATTGTATTTACCTTGTTTTTTATTTGTTTTTCTTTGAGTCTTTTGTCTTCTAAACCCTTTTTCCTTGGTGTATCGTTTACCTTTATTGTTATAATTGTTATGCCATTTATTGCTATTGACATTTCTTTTTTTGTTGTATGACCTTAGATTTCTATGTCTTGTTTGCTTTTCTTTACAAGACCCTAAGGTTTTACACAATAGCCATGGCATTAAAATTTGTTGTATTTCCTGCATTGGAAAAGGATCTTAATTAATAAATCAATAAAATAAAAGAATAATTGATATTAACAAAAAATGAGTGAATGATTTAGTTTATATATAAAAATTACATTATATTTAAAGAAAAAGATTAAAATAAAGTACTTGTTAACATTTAATTTTCATAATAAAGAATGAAGAAACTATAATTTCACAACAAACAAATCAGGTATATTGAAATAATTTCATTAGATGAATTATAAATGAAATGCAAAAATAACAAAAAAACAGAATATACCAGTGAAGTTATAAATATTATTATATCAAAACATACCATTTGTCTTACAAGAAATATTATAAAATGTAAATGATAGAATATAATCTATATTTGAAATTAGTGAGAATGCATAAGAATAATATTAAAATAATTCCAAAATAATAATTATATTCATAAAAAATATTATATGAATTTGAGCTTTTATACTTATCTAATTACTCCTTTTTGATATTAATTAAATTTTTATATTAATATAAAAATAATTTTGAATAATTTGATGAATAGTTTTAAATTAATACTAAACTAACGTCATTCAAATTAAACCTCTTTTTGGATTAATACAATTATTTATCTTCTAAAGAATAACAAAGTAAATATAAAAAATAAATTAAGTTTAATTACATAAATTCAAATAACTCTTTTATCAATTACTTCAGATAATAAATAACATTTGTTTTGATTATCAAAATATTAATTTATTAATTTATAACTTTTTTATTTTTATCATTGGAATTAAACAAATCAAAAACCAACCTTCATTATATAATAGGATTATCAATTTCTACAAATCAAAAAATTTATATTAGAGAAGAAATAAATAGAAAAAAGAAACTAATTTCCAAAATTAATTTGTATTTAAAAAATAACACAAAAAAATTTCGTTTTTAGATTTTTTCTTTTCATTAAAATTTAAAAAAGATCTAATAAAATCGTATTATCAAGTTATCATGGGATCTGCACAATCACATAGAACAAAAAGAAACCAACGAAAGAATCAAAAAGAATGCACAAATAGTCCTGAAACAACTCCTCCACAATCTTCACCACATGAAAACTGGAAACAACCAATAAATAAAACCAAAAAAAGTTTTACAACAACCCAATGTGTTTCTAAAACAGTAGAAACAAAACCAATAGTTCCAGTACAAGAAAAACCAACAGCTCAAATTCAAGAAAAACCAAAAACCAATCCTCAAAAAGAAGAAACTACCAAGATAACACAAGAAAAACAAAAAGAACAAATAAATACAATTCAAAATGACTTTAATTTGTATCAAAAAGATGGAGAAATTCAACCAGAAGGATTAGCTCAAATGATTGAAGACCTTGGTATTAATGATGTTGGATCTATAAAGGCTTTATGGGTTGCATGGAAATTAGGAGCAAAGGATTATAAAATTAATGAGAACGGATTTAGAAAAGGTCTTGAATCAGTTCATGTTTCTTCATTAAAAGAATTTAAAAATTGTATTCCTGAAGACCCATTAAATGATAACTTAACTGGAAAACGACTATTTAATTATGCATTTGAATGTAATGTAGAATATCGTCAAAAATTAATGGAAAAAGAAGATTCTATCTTATTACTTCATCAATTCTTTGGAGAAAATAATGAAATGGTAAATAAATTCATAACTTTTCTCTCACTTGATTCAACAAAACCATTAAATAGAGATGAATGGCAAAACTTATATGATTTTATAAAAACAATTCATTTAGACTTTTCTAACTATGATACAACATCAGACTCTGCATGGCCATTACTTTTTGATAGTTTTGTGTCTTCATTTCAAAATTAATGAATTTAATAGATAAATTAGTTAATAAAAAGAGAAAGAAACCATTTTATTATTTCAAAAAGAGGTTCTTTTTTTTGTTATACTTTTAAATTAAAGAAGAATAAAAAACAATGACATGATATATGTTAAAATTAATTAATTTTTTAATTGAGTTTCAAATAATTCTTTTGCTATAGAAGATACATCTTGTTCATCATCAGCCATTAACTGATAACAACAATCACAAACATTACTTATTTGAATAAAATTTGGATATTTTGAGGATATTAAAGAAATTGCATGACATAAATGAATTCTTACATTAGGAACTGGATCATCAACACATAATAAAAAGAATGGCATAAAGAAATTATCTAAAATTGCTAAACCTTCATCCATAGATTTTACTTCTCCAAATATCCAACTAATAAATTCAATAATAATCTTTCTTCTATGATAATTTCTTTTAGATAAAACAATAAAATTATTTCTTACTTTTTGTTTAAATTCATTAGATGATATCATATATACTTGTGCTGTAACTTCTGCTGCTTTAGATCGTGTAGCAGCCATTGGATCATTTAATAATTTAAATAAATAAGTTTGAACATCAACTGATTCTCCAACTGATTGAACAACTCTACTAAAACTTGATGCTATTTGTAATCTTACTCTCCAAAATGGATTTTCCATAAAACTCATAAAAGATTTCATATATCTTTCTTTATATTCAGGATTAACAATTCCAATAACATCTGCTAATGAACTAATAGCAGCTAACTGAACTACTTTTTCATCTTTAAGTAATGAATCATATAATTCTAAAAAGAATGCCCTTGTATCTTCTGCTTTTACATAAGGCATAAATAATTGAAAACAAACTCCAACACTATATCTTGCTCCTATAGCACCTGAATTAGCTAAATTTTTAACGATAGTAAATACAGTTTCTGATTTAGTTTCCATATAAAAATTAATAATTGAGACTAAACTTTTCCCAACTGATGTTGGAGCATCAGGAAATAAACGAACGGTATCAGATGATAAATTAACAAGAATTGGTAATATTTCTTTTGAATATTGATTAGCAAGTTTTTTTCCTATAATATGAAGAAAATGTGGCATTTGTTTTAAAGAAACAATTGCATTTGGTTTATTTGCATCTTGGACTAATGAAAAAAATGGTCGAATTAAATTACTTTTACTATCAACAGCTATTTCTGCTATTGATGTAATACATTCTGATGCCTTTTTTCTTACTATAAAATCTTTGTCATTTGCACCACATACAATTGCAGGAACAATCATTCCATCAATATATTCTATTGGTAATTGTGTTGATAATAAAGAATATGTTTTAATTGTATTCTTACGTAATGAAAGATCTTTAGACATTAAAAGGTCTGGTAATTTTGGTAATAATAATTGTATTTTTTCTTCTTCACTTAATCGTGGTAACATTGCATCAACTAATACTAATCCAAATACTTGATTTTGGCAATCACTATCATCCATTAATAATGCTTTTGAAACAGAATATACATACCCTCTAAAATCTGTTTCATTTAACATTGGAATAACTCGTTTTAAACATTTTACTGTTGCTTTTTTAATTGCTTTTGGACTATTTACGACAAGTTCAGTTAATGGAGCAACAAGAAGCATTGCTTGAATTCGATATTCTTCAGTATCCTAAACAAATAAATAATAATTAATTATATTATTAAAATAATAAATTAACAAACTGATACATAAAGTTTTCTTATTACAGGTAATAAATTTTGAATTAAATAAACAATTTGTGAATTTTCTGAATCTCCTAAACTGTCATGAAATAATGGTATAAGTTCTAATATTTCTTCAAATGATAATTTTGGTGTTAATTCTCCTAAACTTTTATAAGCTGCTTTTCTATATTATTACATTTATCTCTTATTCTCTTTTTTTTTAATAATTCATTTCATATTTAAACAAACCGTTTAGGTCCTGTAGTTTTTATTGATTCAATAAATTCTTTAAATTCAATTTCAGTGTTGGTCATTTAATTATTAAGAACTTAATTTTCTCAATTTTTTGAAAAACTATCTTTTCAGTTTATTTTAATTAATTTTATTATTTTCTTTATTAATATTTTATTATTTGAAATAATATTTTATTAACTTTTTTTTTTATTTAATTTATTGATTCTTCTTTTGTATAATCAAACTCTCAATATTAAATTCTTATTTGACTCAATGGAAATAGTATTAAATGTTCGTTATGAAAAAAATATTTCCAATTTTGTGAAAATTAATAGTTCAAAATTTTTATTTTTATCAAAGTCAAAAATTAAAATTTCTAATATTCAAAATTATTGTGGAACGAATAAAATACTTGAAGAATATATTTGTTACTTTATTATTGATAAAAATTTAAATGAAAATGAAATTATATTAAATGATGAAATGATAATTTCATTAAGATTTCCTAAAAAAGTTAAAATTTCACTTTGTTTTATAAAAACAATTCCTGAAGCAATAAATATTATTGTAAAACCTTCTCCTCATCCTCTTATTAATTTAAAAAAACAAATTAAGTATTTTAATGATAATAAAAATTGGGAAAATTTTAATCATCGTTTTATAAAAATTGGAAATACATTATTATTAAAAAGTGATTCAATTGGTAATGAAAATAATTTATTATTATCTCCGTATAAATGGTTTTCTTATTCCATTACTAGTATTAATAACCAAAAAATAACTTCTTGTTTTTTTGAAATTACATCAAAAACAAAATTTTATATTGAACCTTCTCCTTCTTTAATATTAACTTCAAAATTATCTCCTTTAACATTTATTTCATCAGAACAAAATTGTAAAGAAATCTACTCTTTTCTTTCAAATCTCTTAGTAAAATCAAATCAATTAAATCAAATGAAAGAATGTATTATATTAGGACCAAATGGAATTGGTAAAAGAACTTTAGTTCTTCAAATTGCTTCAACTCTTCAATGTAATTTTATTAGAATTGGAATAGATGACTATTCAATATCTGATACATTAACATTAATAGAAGAATCAATAAAAGCTCTTCCTATTATTATTTTATTTGATAATATTACAGACATTAATTATAATATAATCTATCAATATACTTCATCAATTCAATCATTTCTTGCAACTAAAATTAATACTCTTCCTCATTCACTCTTTAAAATGATTTGTGTATTTAATATTGATTCTATTTTTTCTCCATCGGATTCTTTTCCATTTCTCCGCTTAAAAAATTATCAAACATCTGATCTTTGTCGTATTCAACAATATCTCCATTTACCAGAATCAATTATTCTTCCAAGAGGATTAACTTTTTTTGACTGTCTTTCTATTCAAAAGAGTTGGAATGCACTTCCTTTAAGTATTGAAGAAATTAATAAAATAGCAAAACAATTATCTCAACAACATACTACTTCAATAGAAATACCAACTGTAAGATGGTCTGATATTGGTGGTTGTAATGGAGCTAAAAAACAAATTAAAGAGGAAGTGTCAAAAATATTATCATCAAATGAAAGTCATGGAATTTTATTATATGGACCTCCTGGAACAGGAAAGACTCTTCTTGCAAAAGCAGTAGCAACAGAATATAATATGTCATTTTTCAGTGTTAGAGGTGCAGAGTTACTTAGTAAATATGTTGGAGAAACAGAAAAAAATATTAAAAATCTATTTCACACAGCAAGAGAAAATAGTCCATCTATTATCTTCTTTGATGAAATTGATGCAATTGCTTCTGAAAGAAAAGGAGGGAGTGTTTTTGATAGAGTTGTAAGTCAAATTTTAACTGAAATGCAAGGGGTTGGTGTTATTGGTGGAATTCTTGTTATTGGAGCTACAAATAGAATAGATAAAATAGATAAATCACTTCTTGTTCCTGGTAGGTTTGATGTATCTGTTGAAGTTGGGTTGTCTTGTGGTGAAGAAAGAAAAGAAGTTATATTGGCTCAATTAAATTCTGTTCAACATGAAGATATAAATCTTGATCAATTTGTATCTTATTTACCAGAAAAAATAAGTGGGTCAGACATCTCTTTGATAATATCAAAAGCATATTCACTTGCCCGTAAAGAGGTGATAAATCGCTATATTAAAGGAGAAGTTGTAACTACACGAGATATAAAAATTACAGCATTTCAATTATATTCATCTCTTAAATAACACAAATTATTTAATTTTTTTTTGGTATTTATCTTTAATTCAAAATAATAAAAAAAACTTAAAACTATAAAAGAATTAAAAGTAAATTAATAAAAACTATACTTTATCAAACCCGGAGAACTAAAAAAAATCGAGGTTTTTAGGGGTTGTTGGAGATGAGTGCTAAAGTAGCCACCGCCGTTCAAAGAGAAGCTTGCACAAAAACTGTTTGCCCATGCAAAGCAAGATGCCAAGCATTCAGAGCTGAAGTTATCAAAAGAACTATTCAAAACCATAAGGATATTGAAGCTGCTAAGAAAGCTGTCTATCTTGCAAAGAAGAAGGCAGAAATTAACGGTGATTTATATGCTGAAGCTGATCCAAAATTAATTGTTGCCATTAGAATTAGAGGTATTAATGGAGTTTCACCAAAGATCAAGAAAATCCTTAAACTCCTTAGATTAAGACAAATTAACAACGCTGTTTTCATTAAGGCAAATGCTTCAACCATTAAGATGTTAAGACTTGTTGACCCATATGTTACTTATGGTTATCCAACTTTAGAAACTGTCCAAAAACTCATTTACAAACGTGGAGCCCTTAAAATTAATGGAAATAGAATGCCAATTACTTCCAACTGTATGATCAAGAAAACTCTTGGAGACAAAGACATTATTTGTGCTGATGATCTTATTCATGAAATTTACACTGTTGGAAAGCACTTTAAGGAAGTTAACAATAAACTCGCTCCATTCAAATTAAACGGTGCTAAAATTGCTGAAAAGAACAAGAAGATTCATTTTATTCTTGGAGGAGGATTTGGAAATCGTGAATTACTCATTAACAAGCTCCTTGCCAAGATGATCTAAATTGATTCGTTATGATTTTTTTTTGTTATATAAAACCAATTAAATACATAACAAAAAAGGGTTTAATAAAAATTCAATAGGAGTTATTTTTAGATGGAATTAGGAACTTTATAGAGAACTTTAAAACATCCAGATGAGTCAGATTTGTAAAACTGTCATTATTGGAGATTCTGGAGTAGGTAAAACTTGTATCATTCAAAGATTTACAAAAGGAACTTTCAATGAAGAACAATCTGCAACAGTTGGAGCATCATTTGTTGATTGTGAATTTAAATTACCTAATAATGAAAGTTATAAATTACGTATTTGGGATACTTGTGGACAAGAAAGTTTTCAAAGTATTATTCCTATGTATTTTAGAAATGCGTCATGTATTATTCTTGTGTTTGATGTTAGTAATTTTCAATCATTTAAAGGTATTAAAAGTTGGTTATCTATTGCATTGTCAAGTGCACCAGAATCAACTCCTGTAGTTGTTCTTGGATCAAAAAGTGATTTACCTTCTGTTGTTCCTGAATCAACAATAAATGATTTTGTACGTCAAAGAAATTATTTATATTTCCCTGTATCTTCTAAAAATAATACTGGAATTAAAGAAGCATTCGATAAAATTTCTTCTCTTGCTTTTGAAAAACAATCTTCTATGACTAAAGAACAAGAAATTAGAATCAATGATGAAGTTAAACAATCTGATAAAAAATGTTGTTAATTACATATTTTTTTGTAGTATTATATAACATTCTTTCTTTTTTTTTTTTTTAGGATTTATGAAAAAAATAAAATTATATTAAAAAAATTAACTTGAAATGAGTGTAAAAAGATTAATTCTAAAAAAATAATTACTAAAATTATAAAAGTTAAGGAAAAAGAAAATGTGAATCGACAAAAAACTAGTATATCATTTACACGAATAATGGCAGCAACAGAAACTGCAATTCTTGAGGGATGGCCAACATTACAAGAAGTACTTGAAGACTCATTTATGAAACGATTATTGAGATGTTATCTTTCTGATGAAAGGTCAGAAGAAAATTTAGACTTTCTTGAATCAGTAGGATTGTATGAATCTCAGTTTGATAAATTGACACCTAAAGTACGTTTAGAAGCATTAAATTTTATTAAAGATCAATTTTTGGATAGAAACTCAGAACGACAAGTTAATTTATCTTATCAAATTCAACAATCAATCTTAAAAAAATTATCTGAAGTTACTTCAAATGCACCCAAAGATGTATTTAACGAAGCAAAAAAAGCAACAGAATATTTGTTATATACAGAACAATACACATATTTTATTAATAAGTTAAATGCTAATACAATTGGTACAGGTAAAAAAGATGTTTATTCATTATATCTTAATCAATTTCCTAAAACTAACCCACAACCATTATATAAGCCAACATTAAATAAAATCATAGAAATTGAAAAAAAATCATGGAATGAAGATGAGGTAAAAAGAAACACAGAATCTATTAAATCACTTGTAGAATCATTAATTCAAGACGAATGTAATTATGTTGGAGTATTAACTAGTTTAAGTGAATTTAGTGAAATTATGACTAAAAAACAAATACTTGGTCCTGATGTTTTGAAAGAACTTTTTGATCATATTCCTGTATTAATTCAACATCACCAAAAATTCATTTCATCATTACAAGAGGCTAAAGCTGATGAGAAGGTTGGAGAAAAATTAAACTCTGGACTTCACTTTTTAGTTCTTTATCGATACTACCTTCGGCATGTTCCAAAGAATATTGCTAAGTTATGTTCTATTGGTATGACAGATGAAATAGAAGTTGGAAGAGAATTATATCCTCTTCCAGTAATTGAAGAATTTGATAAACAACAAAAGATGACTAAAAAAATGAGTGTATTACAAATGCTTGTTTATCCATATTTTAGAGTGAGAACATATCAAGCCTATGTAGATGATTTTATTAAAATAACAAAGAAAGACTCACAAGAAGTTAAAGAATTAGAAGTTGTTCATAGCCAATTAGCTATTTTTCAAGAATTAATTAATACATATTCTGATATCAATAAAATTGAAAGAATATCTGATGCACTCAAGCTTCTATTTCCATTTAGTTTTACTTCTATTATGCCTTTATTTGAAGGTAAGAATGGAATTTGTGGAATTGCTTCTTTAGATAGATTTGATAAAACTGATATTAATCAGTTATCTATGTCACTTAATTCACGTAAAAAACTTACATTAATTATTTTATATCGAGGTGTTGTTGTTACTGATGTACCAGTAATTAGAAAGAAAGGTAATGTAAGTAATTCTATTGATAAATCATTTTATTCATTTACATTAATAGGTGATATTCGAGATTTTGGTACTGAAGATTCTACAGAAACAATATACATTGATGTACCAGAAATCAAAAAGAGAATATGGTTTGGATGTGAAAGTACTGAAGAATTTAAGTCTTGTGTTGAAGCATTAAGAACAATCTTGTCAAATTGATTTTTTCTATCTCCCAATTTTTGTCTTTTTATAAACTTTTAAAAAAAAAGAATCTTAAAATGATTAATTAATAAGAAGATGAATGAGTCACAAGTTCAGATAAATTCAGAAGAGAAAATATTAAAAGAAGGCAATAAATTAAACAATGAAAAAAAAATGAGAAAAACAAAAAAGGAAATTAAAGAATTGAAACAGAAAGAAGAAAAAAAACCAATAAGTAACAGTCCTTTAATTTGTAGTATTTTAAAAAATTTCATTAAGGTTCATCCTGAAGTTATCTTACAAAGAAAGAAAGTATTTAATCCACTTGATTGATATTAATAATTTTGTTTGAAGTCATTAAGAAATTAAAAAAAAAAATATAATTACCAAAGGAAACTTTTGTATTTTCCTTTCTTAGTTGGTGTTATAAATAAAGTGTCAAGTTTAGAACGAACCAAACTAATGATTTTATTTCCACGATTAATAACTTCGTCTCTTTCCAGAAGAATATTAAAAGTACCACAAAAGAAATAATCAGAACGTAATGTTGCATAAATACAATCAACACCACCTTTACTACAATATTCTTTTAAATTTTGATTTTTCATTTCATCATAGACAGTTCTAAACATTCTATGAATTCTTTTTTGTTCAGTATAACTTGATTTATATGGTTCTTGAAATTCAGGTTCATGTAATTGAGCATTATCACCTTCAATTTTAACAAATATATAATGAAGATATAATGAAGAACTTTCTTCAAATTGAACATCAACTGAAGGACCATTAATCAATTGGTTGATAAATGGGACATTTATTATTTCATTTTCAATTGTTTCAGCACAAGTACTAATTATTGGTAATGACTCATTTTTTGTTGCTAAAAGTACTAATGATAATTTACTTGTAAAAAATTTACAAAAAACAAATAATTGTCCTGATTGATTAAAGTCATATAATCCAATTGGAACCCATTTATCATTTATTGTAGGTAATCCTTGGACAAAAGTCATTAAAATATGAATGTCTTTTGGAGAAAGAGTACAACCAGATCTTTGATTGATATAAATAAGATTTAACTCATTAAATAATAAAGTGAATACAATTGAGTCATTGTCATTTATTAATTTATCATTACAAGTATTTACTAAATTAATAATAACATCATTTATTTGTTCTCTCATTGTACATGGTAAAATACTAACAGCATTATACAAAATAGCAGTTGAAACATTCATTGAATGAATAAGAAATTTCATTTGGTCATATTCAGTTAATATAAGTCTTCTAAAATCATATGAAGTTTTCTTTTGAAATAATGATAAAATGGTAGTATAAGGAACAATAGAACAAAGTTTTCTTCCAATCATTTCTGCTTCAATCTTTAATTGTTGTGGTGTTTCTCCAGTTTTTGCTACAATAACAATTTCAATAGGTCCAACTGAATGAAAAATAATTATTTTTCCATCTTCACAAACAACATCATCTGTAGAATCACTTAAATCTGCAACTACAGAAGATAAAGCGGTTAATGTACCCATGAAAGGAGCTAATTTAATTTCATCTCCATACCTACTAAATATTGGTTTTCCTGCATCTGTATAAATAAGTATATGCTTCTTCTTCATTTCCCAAGCTTTTGCATTATTTGTCATATCAATTTCAGTATCATTCTCCCATCTTTTATGTAAAATGGAAAATTCATTTCTGATAGAAACATTTTCTTCAGCCATCTTCTTCAACCTAACCCAATATAAATACTCATCTTTTCTTTTAAGTTCTTTTAATTTCTGTTTTATATAACGAAAATATTTCTTTTTTTTTTATAATTTTTATATTATTAAAATTTGTTATTCAATGGAATAACTCGTTTTAAACATTTCAAATAACAACATCACTAACAACCATTTCTAAATAATCTTCTTCTTCATAAATTTTGAATAAAGATATTTAAATTAACTTAACTTCTTTTATTAAAACAAAAACAATATCTATTTTAGGATTTTCTTAAAGAATTTTTATCTTTTCTTTTTAATTTAACATTAATTATAAATATTCAAAGACTAAAACTTTATTGAATTAAAATGATGTTTCAAACTAATTTATTTTTTTATTACAAACTCTATTTATTTAAATGAAAATGAATTTATTACATTAATACCATAAACATGAAGTTATAACCATATAAAGAAAATACAGCATATTAATTAAAAAAAAAGAAGAATATGAACCAATTAGAAAAAGATACTTCAAAACTACAAGTTAGAAAATGAAAATTTGATGAACTATTTCTTATGTAAAGTACCAGCAATATTGTACCATTTTTTAATTTCTTTTGGAGTGATTCTTGCTTTTTTGACAAAATTAATAAATTTATCTTGATCAAATTGACTACCCATAAGAGTCATAGGATCAGCCAAAGCTTTATCAATAAAAATATATTCATCCATTTTTAATATTTCAACTAATTAAGTGAGAATTAAAGAAATAAAAAGAAGATAAAATTAAAAGAGAAAAAGTGTAGATTAAAACAAAAAACAAACCTTTTGAATAATGAAGAATTGCACTAAAAATGGAGAATACAATTTCCCATCCTTCCATTAAAATTAAATCAAGAATTCGTACTTCAAATTCGGGATGGAAACACCTACAGAACCATAACATGAAGTATTCTAACATATAAGTTTTCCAATTATCAAAATCATATTCTTTTGATTTTAAATGATAAAATATTTTTGGATGATATTTTTTCATAACTTTCATTGCAACAAATGCACATTTATTAATTCCAGGAAATCCTGGTAAAAACATTTCTCTTAAATTGTATTTTGGATTATTCATTAAAGCACTAAATCCCCAATAAACTTCTTCTTCTTCTTGAAGTATTAATATTAAAAATCCACAAAGATCAGACATTCCTTGAACATAACCTAAGTCATCTTGCATAGACCATGCTCTTAATACTCTAAATAATGTTCTTTGACCATCATTAAATTTAGCCATAAAATGAATATTATTTTGATGAGCTCTCATAACATCTTTATGAATTTGTTCGTCATCTTTACCACGTTCTGGTAATTCAGTAATACGAGCAAAATAACCATTATATTCTTGAATAGATTGATTTATTTTTAATTCAATTTCCCAATATTTCTTTCTTTTATTGAGTGGAACAAATTTATATACTCTATGAAATAAAGCTCTTGGAACCTTTCCACTTTTATTCCATTCATCTAACATTATTTCCCATTTTTTTTCTCTTTCTTGTGAAGTTATTTTTTTAATTTCATCTTCTGTTTGAGTTTGATCTTTAACATATCCAAATTCATCAGTATTAGATTTAACTTCAATAACTTCTTTCTTTGCAATTGTGTTTTCTTCATTATATACTAATCTAACATCTTTTAATGAAGTAACATTAAGAAAAAAATTAACTAATGGTTCACATTCACTTTGAAGAGCATAAAATAATGGTTGTTTTTCATTAATATCTGCTGCTTCAGCTGCTGTAACACTTTTTCTAAAATAGTCGAAATAAGCACCGAAATTAGTTATTTTATTAAGGTTTTTTGATTTAGCCATATAATGTAAACAATTTGATTTATCTGAGTCAACAGTATCAATATTAGCTCCTGCTTTTATTAATAAATTTATCATTTCTAAATTCATATAAAAACATGCTACCATTAATGGTGTAATTCCTTTATTATTTTGTATATTAACATTTCCTCCATATTTAATAAGTTTTTCTAATAATTTTAAATTATTTCTTCTACATGCAATATAAATTGCACATTCTCCTAAATTATTTTGTGAATCAATTCCTGTTTTATTCATTTTTCTTGCTAAATATACACATGCATTAGTTCTTCCTGCAATAACTCCTCTAATTAATGCATTATTTCCATTAATATCTTGAGCACTTTTTGTAATTCCTGCAGCAAGAAGTTGTTTAACAAAATTTGATTTACCAGTTTCAGCAGCAATATGAAGAGCAGTAGAACCATCTATTTTAGATTTAAAATTTAATTTAGAGTCTTGTATTGAAATATATGGTGGTAATTGTCTTTCATTTATCGTTTCTTGTCTCCCTGCATTTAATGCAAATACAAATACAGGTGGCACTCTTTCATTTACTTTTTTTCCTTCTATTGTTCTACTAATAAGTTTGAGTTGAACTTGATCATCTTCAGTATCAGTTTCATATTGTTCATCATATGAGTATTCTTCAGAAGACATGAAGAACTTTTAGAATATTTGAACTAAAAATTATTTTTTACTTTTTTTTTTAATTTCCTTTTTTGGAGTTTTCTTTGTTATCTTTTTTTTTTTTTCTTTAATTCGTAATTTTTAAAATGAATTGGTAAGTATTAACTTAGTAATTATTTTCAAATTGATAGAAATAAATTATGTAAATTAAACTATTTTTGATAATTTTGGGGGAGAATATATTTTTTCTTATTTGAAAGTTCAAAAAAAAAAATATAAAAAAGATAGTTCAACGGAAGTCAATGAAAAGAAGATGGGAACAACTTATTGAAAATGAAGAAAAAAGACAAAACAAACTGAATAATACAAAAAAGAAAATTGAAGGAGTAAAATCAAATAAACAAAAAATTACAATAGAAATAGACCCATTAAAAATTAAACAAATGCATGAAAAAATACTTAAATTTTATGAAAAAGAAGGAAGAAAATTACCATGGAGAGAAACAACAGATAAATATAAAATACTTGTAAGTGAAGTAATGTTACAACAAACACAAGTAACGAGAGTAATAGAAAAATATAAATCATGGTTAATTCGTTTTCCAACTATTCAAGACTTAGCAAAAGTTTGATTCATCATTTTAAATTTAAAAAATTAAAAATATTTATTTATTTTAGGCAAATCTTGCTGATGTTCTTGAAGAATGGAATGGATTGGGTTTTAATTCAAGAGGAAAAAGGTTAAGAGATTTAGCTATCGAAGTATGTGAAAGATATAATGGAATAATACCTTCTAGTGTTGATAAATTATTAAATTTACCAGGAATTGGTCCTTATACTGCAAATGCAGTGTTAATTTTTTCTGAAAATCAAGATATTGCAACAGTAGACGCTAATATTAGAAGAATTCTTATTCACGAACTTTCTCTTGATGAAAAAACACCTGAAAATATATTATTCGCTTATGCAAATAAATGTCTCCCTTTGGGAAGAAGTCGAGATTGGCATAACGCTTTAATGGATTATGGTGCTCTTGTTGCAACTGGTAAAAAAACTGGAATTACAGCAAAATCAAAACAAAGTAAATTTGAAGGATCAAGAAGATCATATAGAGCAGAATTATTAAGAAGAATTAGAAAAAATAATGGTTCTTTATCAATAGAAAATTGTGAAGAAGTTATTAAAGGAACTAAATACACTTTAGAAGAAATCATTGAAGGATTAGAAAAAGATGGAATTGTTCATAAAGAAGGAGATTTTATAGTTTTGAATAAATAATTATATTATTATTAATTTTAGTATCATTTATTTTCAATATATTATAATTATTTTATTATAATATTTTTATTATAATTTATAATATTAATACAGATATTTAAGTTAATCAGTATCTTACTTTTATCAATTGCAGTTATCCCCTCGTTTTAATTAGTATTAAAACGAACCATTATTATACTGCAAAATTAATTTGCTTTATTTTTAAGGTTTATTTTACTATATTATTTACCTTCTATTTTAAAGCAATAAACAATTAATTTTAGTAATATTAAAAGTCAATTAGTATGACTTATATGGCTGAAAAGTTGGAAGAATAGTTTTTAATAATTCAAATTGTATTTTTTCTTCTTTAGAGCATTTCTCTAAGTCAATACTTATTGTCTTTTCATTTAGTATCTTTTCATTTTAAATTATTAAATAGTCATTAAAACAAACAATCCCCATTTTATTTCTTAATTCTTTGACATTTTTAATAGTTTCTTCCTTGCTCATTTATTTTTTATTAAGTTTTCTTTTTATTTTTTTTTTTTTGATAAAAAATATGAAAATTAATGAAAATTCTAATCATAATGAAAAGAAATAGAACTTAAAAAGTTTATTCCATGTTCTTTTTATATATTCTCTTCATTGCATTAATTAATGCTGCTGAGTTTGACATATGCAAGAACCCACAAATTATTAATGGTTCAACTAACATTTATATTGAAGACCTTAATGAAAGAACAACCTTAGATGGAAAAAAAGGTGTTTGGGTTCAAATTACTGCTGAAAAAGAAACAGTTGGATATACTTTCCACACTTTAGGTCATGGAGATGTTAGTATTGCTGAAACAACAGACTGTTCTTCATTGTCAGAAGTAAGTCAATTACCTTATGAATTTGTTGTTGAAACAGGAAAAACTCGAATTTTCTTTGTTTCTGTTCCTGAAACAACCACAGAAGAAATTACTGTTATTGCTGATAAAATGCTTGTTTCAGAAAATGAAATGAATGCAACTATTGTTAGAGGAGAATTTATTCCATTGACATTCCCTGTTCATACTTATACAACTGACAATACTGTTTATTATCAACTCATTGGAAGAGTCAACTGGAAGGTTGAGGTTTCTGTTGATGGAAAACTTGAACAAACCATTGATTTAAAACAAGATAGTACTGAACTTGTTACTATCAAGGCTGAAGCTGGAATTCATTCTGTTCAATTTAGTTATGCTAAAACTAATGCAGAATACCAAAAAATTGAAGT